AGCGGACCCTCTGAGGGGGCCTGGGTAATGGAGCTGACCATCTGAGGGGCCTGGGTGATAGAGCGGACCCTCTGAGGGGGCCTGGGTAATGGAGCGGACCATCTGAGGGGCCTGGGTGATAGAGCGGACCCTCTGAAGGGGCCTGGGTGATGGAGGCCCTCTGAAGGGGCCTGGGTGATGGAGCGGACCCTCTGAAGGGGCCTGGGTGATGGAGCGGACCCTCTGAGAGGCCTGAGTGATGGAGCAGACCCTCTGAGGGGACCTGAGTGATGGAGGCCCTGTGAAGGGGCCTGGGTGATGGAGCTGACCCCTCTGAGAGGCCTGGGTGATGGAGCAGACCCTCTGAGGGGCCTGGGTGATGGAGGCCCTCTGAGGGGGACTGGGTGATGGAGGCCCTCTGAGGGGGACTGGGTGATGGAGGCCCTCTGAGGGGGACTGGGTGATGGAGTGGGCCCTCTGAGGGGGTCTGGGTGATGGAGCGGACCATCTGAGGGGCCTGGGTGATGGAGCCGCCCCTCTGAGGGGCCTGGGTGATGGAGGCCCTCTGAGGGTCTGAGCAGTTGTCCACTCCTGCAGTACACTTCCTCAGTCCTGTCCCCTAGCACGGCCGGCCGTGGGAAAGGTAGCCAGGAGGAGACGGTGACAGCCCCACTTGGGGTAAGGCTGGGTGTGCTGCTCAGGGGCCCTCTGATCCCCGCTGGGCTAGTGACGCTGAGGTCCAATGGGGAGGTGAGTCATGCGGACATTGGCCAGGAAATTTAAAGAAATCCAACTGGGCTGGGCGTGGCAGCGCACACCTTTGATCCCAGCACACAGGAGACAGGCAAGTGGATCTCTGAGTTGGAGGCTAGCCTGGTCTACAAAGTGAGACCTTAGCTCAGAAACAAGACAATCAACTGTGAGGGTGGGGAGAAATTGGCACCAGTGTGCCGTGGTATGCAGTTGGGGATGGAGGGACAGCGGGGTAAGAGGCCCACTAAGGTAGCCAGGGTCGGGTGGTACCTAGGCAAGTGGGCCCAGCCGGCCAGTACATGACCCTCACTCCCCAAGTGGCTTGGATAGTGGACAGCTGTGCTCCAGAGTAAGAGAGGGGCTGGAGAGATGGCTCAGTGGTTCAGAGCACTGGCTGCTCTTCCAGAGGACCCAGGTTCAATTCCCAGCACCCACATGGCAGCTCACAACTGTAACTCCACTCCAGTTCCAGGGGATCTACCATCCTCATACCAATGCACATAAAATAAAATAAAAATTAAAAAAAAAAAAAAGAGTAAGAGAGATGGGGCAGTGGCTCCAGCAGGGTGTCACTGGGTCACTGGCAGGAGCAGAGAGACAGGACTGTCGCAGCCCTCGTGGTGGGGAACGAAGGGAATAGTCTCCTGGCTGCAAATTGTAGTCTCCTGGCTGCAAATCTGGGCTCAAGACGGGCAGCTTTGCTGCAGCCCACAGCCCAGGGTAAGAGCAGCTGCACCGCCCGCCCGGGGAGGCAGCTGAGCCAGTACCACCTGCTGAGCCAGCCAGAGGTGGCACACGGTGCCTGCAGACCCCAGCCCTGGCACCACACCAGCAACTCTTGGTTTTTCTTCCTGGCCTTGCTCTCTTGTCTGAGGACATCCATTTCCCCAGACTCCAACCAGACAGGACCAGTCCCTCCTCACCCTGGGGTCAGATACTGGAAACAGTGTGGCTGGATTCATGGGGTGCTGGGGTGTAGGTGACTGGGCAGCAGCCTGGAGCCCTAGATTACCAGACACAGGAGCTGGCCAAGGACTGGGAAGCTAGAGATGTCCCTAGTTGGTGCTTAGTGGGGACATGCCCTAACCTCTGGGTGAGCAGGAGGAGACCAGAGCCAAGGTGGGGTTCATATGAACCCAAGGGCCAGTAGCCACACCGTAATCTTAGAAACAAGTCTGTCTGCATGTATGTATTCTCTGTGGGTACATATGTCAGGGTACACATGTGGACGGTTGAGAGTCAGTTCTGTCTTCTGGGCCCAGGGATCAAACTGAGATCCTTAGGCAAGAAGTACCTTTACCTGCTGAGTTACCTTGCTGGCCCTTGCAATCTGTGACTCCCACCCTGTAGACGAGGCTGGCCATGAATTTGCCTGAGATCCGAGACTGCAAACCTGTGGCAGTGACATTAAGTTTAGTATCACCCTGCCTTTCATTCCATCAGCCCTGGTTGTTGGGTAATTATTTCCCAGAGTGCATTACATGTGCTACCCAGGTATCTTCTTCACACATCAATCTCTACTGGAATCACAGGCTGGCGGCACTGCATCAGCTCACATATATTTCCTTTTGGTCTCATCTTTTTTTTTTTTTTTTTTTTTTTGGTTTTTCGAGACAGGGTTTCTCTGTGTAGCTTTGCGCCTTTCCTGGAGCTCACTTGGTAGCCCAGGCTGGCCTCGAACTCACAGAGATCCGCCTGGCTCTGCCCTCCCCCACCTTCCAGTGCTGGGATTAAAGGCGTGCGCCACCACCGCCCGGCCTCCTTTTGGTCTCATCTTATAGCTGAGGGTAGCCTGTAACTCACCATATTGCCTATGCAAGCCTAGAACTCAATAGGCCAGGCTAGCTTCAAAATCAAACAGCCAGACATGGTGGCACACACCTTTAATCCCAGCACTCAGGAGGCTGAGGCAGGCAGGTCACCCCAAGTTTGAGGCACCACAAGTTTGAGGCTAACCCAGTCTATGCGGTGAGACCCTGCAGCAAACAAACGAAAAACTGAATAGTATATTTTAGCCCAAGCTTGCCTCCAGATTTAGGCAATCCACTTGCCTCAGTCTCCTAAACCTGGAGATTACAAGTATGAGAGGTGTTTTTTTGTTTGGTTGGTTTTGGTTTTTGGTTTATTTTATTCTGTGTTACGAGTGTTTTGCCTGTATGAATGTATGTGTACTGGGGTTTTGTCTGGTGACCTCGGATGTGAAAAAGGGCATCAGACCCCCTGGGACTGTAGTTTCAGGTGGTTGTGAGCCACCGTGTGGGTGCTGAGCACCAAATCTAGGTCCTCTTAACCACTGAGCTATCTCTCTAGTTCCAGATTTTTTTTTTTTTTTTCCGAGACAGGGTTTCTCTATGTAGCTTTGCGCCTTTCCTGGAACTTGCTTTGTAGACCAGGCTGGTCTTTTATTTATTTATTATGTATAGTGTTCTGCCTGCATGTATGACTGCAGGCCAGAAGAGGGCACCAGATCTCATTACAGATGGTTGTGAGGCACCATGTGGTTGCTGGGAATTGAACTCAGGACCTCTGGAAGAGCAGCCAGTGCTCTTAACCACTGAGCCATCTGTCCAGCACCCCCAGAATTTTTTTTTTTTTAAATCAAAGGCAGTTAGCGAAGC